TTTTTTTTTTTTTTTGGCACACGCTTTTTGACCTCCCCTCTCTGGGAGCGAAGCGGCTCACCCTAGGGGGTGGGCCCAGAACCCTCCTGTCCTTAGAGCTCCTGGGTGCCAGAGGGGGGTGGGCGCAGAGGCGTGGGCTGGTTTCCTGAGGCTCTGGGGTCCTGGGCGGCTGTGCCCACTGACCTGGCCTGAAACAGACTTGGGCTTACGGGGCTGGGGCATCTGTCCAGACTGGTTCCCAGGCAAGTGGGATGTTTTGGCTGGCAGCCAGGCGCCCCCAGGCCCCTCCAGTCCCCTGGGTGGTGTGTGAGCCAGCACAGTGGCCCTCAGTCTCCTGGTCAGGGAGAGGAGGCCACTAGGCTAAGGAACCTGCTGCCCTGAAGGAGTATCTTGCAGGGGCTCCAGGCCCCAAATACACCTCAAGGCTTGTGGCAGTCAGGGGCGGAGAGCTACCGGCTCCTGTCCCGCTCGCCCCTCCTGTGATGCCTCTGGGGAAACACATTGCCCCCAGTTTGTTCTGACACCACAGTTTTGACTTCCAGTAAATTCTGGGCCCCCACAGGATAGCTCCGCTTTCCAGAACTTCAAAATCTAAGCTCTGACGAGCTTCAGGCGTGACACAGGGGAAGTTTCTGACAGGGGAAGTTTCTGGCAGGGGAGGGGGGACGGGTCTCAGGCTGTAGGGGGTCTGGCTGACCCAGTGGTGTCTGTGTGTGTGTGTCCTCCCCCCGCTGACATTTCAGATCATTGAGAAGCAGCCGGGCCACATTCGGAGTAGGGTTTTCCGGGAGGTGGAGATGTTGTATCAGTGCCAGGGACACAGGTAATGTGACCTACCCTCACCACAACACTGGGCCCCGAGCCATCTTTCAGTGGCTGAATGGGCCCGAGTGCCTCATCACCCCCAGCAAGCACTTAGTGAGCACCCACAATGTGCCAGGCCCTGTGCTGGGCATTGTGGGTGGGCCCAATGGCAGGCAGGCTGACAGTCCGAGGTGGGCAAGGCGGAAGCAGGCCCGTGGCCCCAGACGCAGCCTTCCTGTGGGTAGGTGGGGTGGAGAAGGTGGGCCCCTGCTGGGCCGGTCTGTGGCTGCCCACAGGCCTGAGGAAGCCTCACTCCTCCCCCACCTCCCTGCCCCCACCCCAGGAACGTTCTAGAGCTGATTGAGTTCTTTGAGGAAGACGACCGTTTCTACCTGGTGTTTGAGAAGATGCGGGGCGGTACGTGGGGCCTGGCAGGCTTTTCCATCTGATCCTAACGGGCCGGGGGCTTAGGGCCACCAGGGAGAACCTTTCAGGGGGGGCCTGCACATCAGAGGGGCCTTGTGGGGTCCACACGCCAGCTCAGGTTGGAGGACTCTGGACCCGAGGAGGCCAGAGTGGGGGCTTCCCTGCCAGGGTGGGGTGGGTGCTGGCCGTTGGGCAGTGGAGGTGACCCCTGTGTGTTCTGCTCCATGGCCTGGCCCAGGCTCCATCCTGAGCCACATACACAAGCGGCGGCACTTTAACGAACTGGAGGCCAGCGTGGTGGTGCAGGATGTGGCCAGCGCCCTGGACTTTCTGCACAACAAAGGTGGGTGGCCACTCTTCCTGCCCCAGGGGTCCCTGGGTGTCTAGCCTTGCACCCAGTCCACCTGCCCAGGACTCCTAGAAGATGTGTCCACCCACCCACAGACCCCTGACCCACCCTCGTGGTTCTTGGTTCTCCCTGCAGGCATCGCCCACAGGGACCTAAAGCCGGAAAACATCCTCTGTGAGCACCCCAACCAGGTGAGGGGCACCGGGGGGTGGCCTTCCCTGCGGGCCAGGGCCCCCAGGGTCGGGACGCCACCCTCACAGCCCCTTCTGACCCCACCCAGGTGTCCCCCGTGAAGATCTGTGACTTTGATCTGGGCAGTGGCATCAAACTCAATGGGGACTGTTCCCCCATCTCCACCCCGGAGCTGCTCACCCCGGTGAGGGCCTGCGGGGTCAGGGCGCCCCGAGTGGCGTGCGGGGGGGAGGAGTAGTTGGCAGGGGCGGAAAGGGCGGGAATGGCCCCGAATCCGGTCCCAGGCTACAGTTGCATAACCTCGAGGTGCGGAGCCTGCTTGGCGGCTCCGGCCTGGGAACTCGGGCTTCCGCTTAGCAACAGCCGCTGATTGGCCGGGCAGAGCGGCTGGGCGGGGCCGCGGTCGGGCGCGGTGTGGCTGGGCGGGCTCCCGGCACCTGTTGATTGGGCGGGGGTTGGGGGGGCCGGGGCCGAATCCCTCAGCAGCCTGTGATTGGCCGGCAGGGCGAAGGCGGGGCTGGCTCCCTCAGCAACCTGTGATTGGTCGGTCAGGGCTGTCTGGCTTTGGGCTCCGTGAAGTCCCTGTCGGGGCGCCCCCCATCCCCCCTCCGCGGGCCCTGACGCCCCCGCTCCCGCCCCCGCCCCCGCCCGCAGTGCGGCTCCGCCGAGTACATGGCCCCGGAGGTGGTGGAGGCCTTCAGCGAGGAGGCAAGCATCTATGACAAGCGCTGCGACCTCTGGAGCCTGGGCGTCATCCTTTACATCCTGCTCAGCGGCTACCCGCCGTTCGTGGGCCACTGCGGCAGCGACTGCGGCTGGGACCGCGGCGAGGCCTGCCCGGCCTGCCAGGTGCGAGTGGGGTCCTGCCGTGCACCCCTCCCCCGAGCACCGCGTCTGGCCTGCCTCGGCATACACACACACACACACACACACACACGTGCACCCTCACCCCTGCCTGCCCAGTGCACCACAAGGCCTGGTCCATGCACACACCTACCCCCCACCCTGGGGGACCTGGCCTGTGAACCCCCCTGAGCACCCCTAAGGGCTTGGACTCCAACCACTGACAACATCCACAGGCCACTGCCGGCCTGACCTTTCTGGGTTTCCAGAGGCTTGTTGGGTTCCCCAGCCCAACAGGAGAAAGCAGTCAGGGGTCAGGAAGTTGAGGTGGGGCGAGGCCTATGGTTTGAGGTGGCCAGGTTCCAGCCTTCTACCCGCCATGTGAGGCTCAGGCTTCATGGCCTGATCCCCCCAGAGCCTGGCCGTCCAGAGCCACCTTTCAGTAAATCGGGCCCCACTCGAGCAGAGGCCACCAAGTGTCTCCCCGAGTCCACTCTCTGCCCCAGCCTCCCAGCCACCCCCAGATGGGTGGGTCCCTGCCCTCCTTGGCCTGCCAGAGCCCCTGGCCTTGCCAGCTGAGCTCAGGGCACTTTCCCCGACCCTAACCCTGGGCCCAGGTCACATGCAGCTGGTGGAGGCTGGGGGCCCTGACAGAACTTGTCACTCATCGGTGCTCCTCTGGGTCCAGGCCTGCCCCTTCAGGTGTCTGCGACGTGGCCTCAGCCCTTGCTGGCTGCAGCTCACCCCACCTTCCATGTCCCCTCCAGAACATGCTGTTTGAGAGCATCCAGGAGGGCAAGTATGAGTTTCCGGAGAAGGACTGGGCTCACATTTCCTTTGCTGCCAAAGACCTCATCTCCAAGCTCCTCGTCCGTGACGCCAAGCAGAGGCTGAGTGCGGCCCAAGTCCTGCAGCACCCCTGGGTGCAGGGGGTGAGTGGGAGCCCCAGGGAGGCCTGGGGGGCGGCTGGCCTCCAGCCTCTGCCAGTGGGCTGGGGTGACTCAGAGCACAAGGGTACGACAGCCCTAGGCGGCTCAGCATCGAGACCCCCCAGAGCGGGCAAGGGCGCAGCAGGGAGATCCCCACTGCCTGCTGGCCAGGTTGGGTTGGGACTGCAGGAGCTGCTTCTCAGTCAGTCACCAGGCCCTGCCTGTGTCCTGGAGGCGCAGGGGCCTCTTCTCACCTGGAACAGAGTGTCAAGCTGAGGTCAGCCAGGTGGCAGGCGGGGGCCTGCCACCCCCCTTCCAAGGCTCTGTCCCCACCAAGCTGAGAAGAGCTTGCTGTTTCTTCTGCCCAGTTGTTGTCCTGGCGGGGCAGATGCCTAGGCCAACAGGGCAGGGGGCTTCACAAAAATACAAGTTGGCACTGTGGGGAGCAAAGACTGGGGCCCCACTGTCAAGGCAGATGGGCTGTTGGAGCGGGCTCCCAACCCCTGCTGGGAACTGGGGCAGCTTTGGTGAGAGGCAGGCCCCGCCCATCACGCGGTCTGGCAACGTCCACCACGCTCACCCGGCTCGGGCCGCGCCCCTCCCCCCAGCCTGGCTCGGTTCCCGGGCAGGTGCACCGCCTTAACCCCCGGTGCTGTCGCAGCCAGCTGGGCGCCCCGAGGCGGTCGGGCTCTGCTCTCCAGCCTCACCTCTCCTGTCTCCTTGCAGTGCGCCCCGGAGAACACCCTGCCCACGCCCATGGTCCTGCAGAGGTGAGGCCCATGTGGGATCTCGGGCTCCGAGCGGGGAGCCCAGGGTCCAGTAGGGGACGCTAAATGTTAAGATGTTTAAAGAAGAGTACACGATCCTCTTTCAGTCTTGGCGGGGGAAGCCGTCCAAGCGCTTGGGTGTCCTTGTACCGGGTGATGAGTTTGTGACCCCACCGCGAATTCCAGTCCGCCGGCCCCTCCCGCCCCCTGCGGAGTCTGGGGCCTCCTGGGGCCTGCAGCCCCGCCCCCAGGGCACTGCACAGACCCCGAGGGAAGCAGGGGGGACGGGCCGGCGGCTACCTTCCCCTCCTTGCTGACCCCCACCCTGTCCCCAGGAACAGCTGCGCCAAAGACCTCACGTCGTTCGCGGCCGAGGCCATTGCCATGAACCGGCAGCTGGCCCAGCGCGAGGAGGACGCGGCCGAGGAGGCGGGGCAGGAGCAGCCCGTGGTCATCCGAGCTACCTCACGCTGCTTGCAGCTGTCCCCGCCCTCCCAGTCCAAGTTGGCCCAGCGGCGGCAGCGAGCCAGCCTGTCCGCGGCCCCCGTGGTCCTGGTGGGAGACCACGCGTGACCCTCTCCTTCCCTCTGTACATAGGCCGCCCCTCTCCCCGTCAAGTCTAAAGATTTTTTTAAGCTATTGCCCGCGGGTGACCAGCGGGCTGCCCTCCCCCGGCTGGATTCCGAGGCGCTAAACTCAGCTCGGGGGTCTTTTTATATAGGGTTTTTGCTGTTGGTTTTTTTTTTCCTGTTTCCCTCCTTTTGTTTTTTTTTTTTTCCTTTCAATGGTGTTAAACGCAGAGCAGGCGCTAGGAGGGGAGAGCGGAGGGCCTGTGGCTGGGTGGGGCCCTCCCGCCGCCCCGGCCCGGGTTGCGCCGGGTACTGTGAAGGCCGCTCCCCGCCGCCCGCGTGACTCAGGAGAGGAGGGCGTGGCGTCTCCCCTCCCCGGTGGGACCTCGCCGCCCCTCTCCCCGGCCCTCACAGTGTTTTCAGGGACGGGTCGACCCCCACCCACCTCCCCTCGACGAGACGGTAGCTCGCTCCTTCCCCTCAGACACCCGGGCGGGCCGGGGGCTTCTCACGTCTCCCCTGTCGCAGGGCGGGGCCTGGGGGCGGGCGGGGTGGCGCCGCCCGCTGGAGCCCCCGCCGACTGACAATCGGGGCTCCCTCGAACCTTGACCTTAAGCTGCGGCTGCCCGGGGCCCCTCCCCTGGCCTCTCCACTGGGGACTGCCCACCCGCGAATGGGGGCGCCAGAGGAAGGGCGAGGAGCCGGACAGGCCCCCGTCAGCCGACGTGGGGGTCCCGCGGACCCCCGACCCGGGCACCCGAGTGCCCCTTCTCAGGGCTCAGTCTGACCACGGCCACGTCCTGCCCGGCCGCCCCTCGAGTCTGGCGTGGAAGCTCTCTCAGCCCCGTCCCCCGCGGGGCCCCCCCCCCCCACAGGGCGGCGTCTCTGTTCCGCCCACCTTCAGGAAAAGGCCGCAGCTGCCGCGCCCCTTCCGCCCGCGCCTGAGTCAGACGTCGCGTGACCCGCGGGGGCTGGGGAGACTCTGACGCCCTTCGTCCTCGGGTGGGAGACTCTATGCAATTCACAGGCTTCCTTTTCCACGTGCACACGGGCTTCTGCCGGGGTTGGGGGCGCGGGCAGCCGCCCAGACCGCCCTCCGGCTCCTAGCTGTTCGTCCTGTCTCGTTCGTTTTCCAGAACATCAGCTGACTTCCCTTCCCTGTTCTTGACGAGGGGGGGGGGGGGGGGGGGCGGGGGGGGCCTCGAGGCGTGGGGGGCTCGAGTGCCGTCTCCGCGGTCCCCCGAGTCTCGGAGATTGTCGCCGTCCTTGGTGGCTGGTGGGGGGCCACCGCCCCGCCCCGCCCTCCCGCTGATCTGTGGACTGGCCTTTCCAAAGACTCCGGGGGTGGGGAAGCCACCCCCCATCATTTCTCGCCCATCAGTGATTCCACGTTTTGCAACCGAGGATTCTGCCTTTTTGTAAAAAAGAAACAAATGGACTCTCGCCCGCTGCAGGCGCCATGGCCATTTTACTCCGGAAAGCTGAGCTGTGAGCAGCTTTTTTTTTTTTTTTTTCCTCAAAGGTGGGACAGCCACTTCCTCCCCCACCCCTGTCACAACGACAGTGCGGCCCGGAGGACTGGTCAGAACCGTTACTGTGAACGAGCCTGGCGCTGGGGGGAAGGGGGCACAGCAGTGTTTCAACGTTAAGATGCGTAAAAAAGACAAAAAAAAGAACTCAAGTTTTTTTAAAGTGGGGGAAAAACGTCCAAGCACTTTAACTCCACTGTACCAGGTGAACTGATACAGCTCAGAAGTTTTCCTTTACACCAACTGTCAACGCCGGTATTTTGTATTCTGTTTTGTAAGGATTTAATAAAAGTCATAAAAACTAGTTTGCGTGCCCGCACCCCGGTTTCTGTTGCCTTGCGACGAGCTGCCTCAAACCTAGTGGCCCGAAGGCATTTTGATATTCCCGGTGATGCTGTGCGTCACCGATTCAGATGGGGCACGGGTGGGCTCGGCCTCTCTCTGCTCCAGGACACCTGGGTCCTCGGCTGGGAAAGACTCATCATCCGCAGGTGTAGGCTGGGCTGACACCAAGGCTGGCTTGGCTTGGAACGAGGGCCAGGTGCCCACACGTGGCCTCCTGCGTGGCTTGGGCTCCCTCGCAGCATGGCCGGTGGATCTGAGCGGCCTGGCCTCAGAAGCCTTCCTGCATCACCTCCCCACGTCTGAGCTTAGGTTGGGGTCAAGCTTTGTGTGGGGGAGGGGCACCTTTGGACAGAGCAACCTAATTCGATGAAACCCGGTGATTCAAACCTCCCCCTCACGGCTGGCCCGCCTCCCTCTCTAGACTCCATCCCCACAGCCATGATTAAGTTCTTGCTGTAGGCAGGTTTTTGCTGGACAGCCCAGGGCTGACTTCAGATCCTGGGGGGGCATGTGGGTGGAGAGGGAGACGGTGGGTCAGGGAGGGCTCCCTGCAGGCAGGAGCCAAAAGGGGGTGGCAGTGGAGTCCAGTGGTTAAGGACTGCTGTGCTTGTCAGTTTCCTCAACTGACGACAGGGATCTGAGAGGAGCCAGGTGAGGAGACCAGCAGGTAGTACAGGGAGAGGCACAAGAAAGAAGTAGATGTGGTCCTCTCTGCAGGGCCTGGGGTGGGGAGCAGGCAGTCCCAGGGTGGGCCAGTCCGGGTCAGCCCCCGGAGCCTTCTGTGTCTGGCTTCTCTCACTGAGCATCATGTCCTCGAGGTCCATCTGTGTTGCGGGGTGTGTCAGTGTCTCACTCCTTTTCATGGCTGAGTGATTGGTCCATCATCCGGACCACACTGTGTTTATCCATCACCCATCAATGGACACCGAGGTTCCCGCTCTTTTGAGTTGTGAGTCATGCTGTGAACATCAGTGTACGTTTGTCTGGTGGTTGTTTCATTGCCCCTGGGTGGACACCTGTAGGAAAATGTGAGCAGGGCACAGACCCCATCAGATGCCATTTTTGGGAGGACTGTTCTTGTCACCAGGTGGAGTGTGGGCTTGGGGCCCAAAGGACCCTGAGAGCCATTGTCACCCTTGCAGCCAGTCCAGTGAGGGCTGACGGGCCTGGTGAGGGTGGAGGCCACAGAGCGCACAGATGCTGGGTGTCTGCCAGCGCCCGGGGACAGCCTGCATGTTGGCGGGGCGGCGAGAGGGGGGCTCTCCGGGCTGTCCACAAGGCCTCCCGGCAAGGTGTATGTGCTAGGATCCCCTCTCCTGCCCAGGATCCCAGGCTCGCCAGGTGGCACCCTCCCCCACCTGGCCCTTCCAGAGGAACCTTCAGGTACACCTTGGAGCCTGGCCCTACCGCTGCATTTGCTCAGCCGCCTGCTAGAGCCCTCCTCTCAAACCCCACAGTCCCCCTCCCAATTCCTCCAGGCCCCGCCCTGTCCCTTGCCTGGCCCGGTATATGTGGGGGAAATGGGGTGGGTGCCGCATGCCAAGCCACCGCCCTCCTAGGTGGCACCGAGCCCTGCCCATCCTCTCCGGGCCCTGCCGCTGACCTCTGCCTGCCCCCTGCCGCCTGCCAAGTTGCAGCTGCCAGGCACAGCTTGTTCTCGGAGCTGCCGCTGTACATTTGATGTTTGCGGTTTCCTCTTGGCCGATCCCGCCCCTTCCACGTCCCCTGGAGGAGTGGCAGGAAAATCCCGGAGCTGGAGGAGCTGAAGCCTTTCCCAAGTTGGCGACTGTGGCCACCTGTCTGCACCTCAGTAAACGGGGCTCACGGGCTCACGGCAGGTTCTTCAGCTGGTCCGGGGCATCTGCAAACTGGATCTGTCACCCCGAGATCACGGCGAATCACATGTGTGATTCGAGAGCTGCCCTCCACCCTGCCCCGCACACACAAGAGGGCCACACATGCTGATGTACGGTGTTAAGAGTAGGGGGAACAGGGCGAGTATCTGGAAACTTTGCACTGCCTTCGCAGTTTTTCTGTAAACCTAATACTGTCTTTTAAAAATTTTTATTTTAAAAAATAAAGTGAACTAAAAAAGACACAGACACAGAAGGCCGCGTAGTGTGTGATCCCACTTATGTGAAATGTCCGGAACAGGCAAATCCACAAAGAGAGTGGATTGCTGGTTGTCGGGGGCTGTGGGGGGGGGGGTGGTGGTGGTGACTGCTGATGGGCACTGGTTTTCTTTTGGGGGGATGGAATGTTCTGGAACTAGAGGTGATGGTTACATAGCACTGTGAATGTACTAAACACCCCTGAAGTGTTCATTTTATTTATTTTTTCGCCATGCTGTGCGGCAGGCAGGATCCTAGTTCCCCGACCAGGGATGGAACCCGTGCCCCCTGCATTGGGAGAGCAGAGTCTTAACCACTGGACCACCAGGGAAGTCCCTGAAGTGTTCATTTTAAATGGGTGAATTTCATGTTCTGTGAATTTCTCCTAAATAAGAATGAAAAAGATGACGGGACCGAGCCTGTGTTGAGTCTGGTACACAGTGAGTGCTCAATTAATGCATGGAGGAATGTTTTATCACCAGCACAGGTGTCTCCGCCCCAGAGTGTAGGGATTTGTGCAGGTTTTGTTCCCGCCATTGTCACCAGTCACCAGCCCAAGTCCTCCCCGTGGATCATATCCCATCTCACAACCTCTTTCACTGTTCCGTCCCAGGAAACTGCGGCCTGTCCTGGTCTTAGACTCACCCAGAAGGAGGAGAAACTGGTTTAAAGCGAAGCCTGATGAAATCAAGTCCGACGTGAGGAAGGACTTACCCCGTTGGTGGAAGCCTGCATGGGGTGAGCTGGCGAGGGAAGGAGGGCTGGCTTCTTGGGGGCGGGGCACCTGGGTGAAGAGCGTGACCTGCCAACGCACCTCGCCTGCCTCTGGCATTTGGATGGGCATCTGGAGCCCATCAGCCCTGGGCCATCGTGTGCCGTGAACCCTCTCCGGTCCCCACACTGGGCTGTATTCATCCCCTCCGTCCAATGGGCATCACGCTCCCCTGCACATAGGGTTTGGGGTTTGTGGGCAACTTCGGGAAGATGCCGTGGGGTTTCTGTCACGTCCGCCAACTCCAGCTCTCCCCGGCCTCAGTTTCCCTTTTGTGACCTCCTGAGAGGTGGCAGAAACCTGGGACACCAACAAGAGGGGGCTTGTCCAGTGCTGCATCCTTGGCT